TCATGGGGATATTCAGGTAACGACGGTCTCTTTTTCTTTCCCGATCCACACAAAAATTTACTTCGAATGGAATTCCCTCTCTCGCCCATTTTCTAAAAAACAAAAAAATGTCAATTTAAAATTCTGACAAAAAAACTCAAACCTTAGTGTTCTATTGATACCCTGGTACCACTTAGAGGGCTGATTAAAGTCAGGGGATGGCTACCTCACAGATTGAATTAGAATTAAACATGTTTTTGCAGTTTYGCGGAGGGAGGAAAACCAGGAGAAAACCCCTCAAATCATGGAAGAAACCCAACAAATTCTACTCAYATGTGAATAAAAAAATTAATATGGCTAAATAAATGTACACATTATCATTCTTACCCAAGTTGTGTATTCGCGGACATCATGATCAGTTTTGTGGGCCTGAGATGTTTTTCCTCGCCAAAAACAATCCTWAACGAAAGATTTTGAAAATATTTTAGATATGTGTTTACAAACTAAGGGGAAAAACGAAAGGAAATAAAGGAAAGGAAAGAAAATGAAACGAAACGGAAACAGAAAAAAGGAAAGGAAAGAAACGGAATGGAAAGAAAGCAAACGAAACAAACTGAGGTGTTTAACCTAATCAAATCTAGCTTCTCTGGGTTGGTGGATAAGACAGACTGCAAAAAGATAATTCATACCTGACAAAGAATGTAGTTCTGGCAATGAAGACATTTGTACCTAAAAGATACGAGTCAAATCAATCAAAATATAAAAGTATTAGAATAAAGCAATACATTAGAGATTTGGATAATACTTTATTTAAGATTGTTGGTAATGATAATATAATATTTTGCTACAATGTCACATCAAAACCTAGACAGGTGCGACTCAAAATTTTATGTGATATAACCATCATTTCCAGTATGGGACACTCCTGTGAGGTTGATACACACTCTTTACCACTATGTTCTATATTTACAACACACAGCACTCAACTTACATTTTTATTTTTTATGGAGGGTGGAAAACCAGAGAACCTGGAGAAAAACCCTTGTAGCAATGGAGAGAACAACACATATCAAACAATCTCAACTCACACAAATCACTTTAAGTGTCTAGTCATTCTAGCGCTTTCGCACTAATTGGGGACTCTTTTCACTCACATGCACTACCACTTCATTCAATATTCTATGCACACAACGCTCAACTCACATGTTGATTTTTAAAGAGGGATGAAACCGTAGAACCTGGAGAAAACCCTCGTAGCATAGGACTAGAGAACAACACATCAAGCAAATTCAATTCCCATATGGTGACCTCACGGCTCAAACCAGTGACCCGACCCGTTAGCTGCGTATGCCACCCATGCTACCCCCACATGTGGGGTTAAAATGAGAATCAAACCCGCGACCTCAGGCTTGAGCTACACAGTGGTGAGAGACCATGCCATAGCAGTGCGCATGCAACCCATTACACACACATTAGTCCCTTTCACAGTTCCATGCGCCATCTTGAGAGGTAGCTGTACCTTTGCATCAAAGCGAGATGAATGGTGAGCTTGCAATGATAGAGGCATGTGAATAATTGTCCAAGGTGTTGAAAAAAGGTCTCTATCATTGCAAGCTCATGCAAAGGCATTGCTACCTTTTAAGATTGCACAGGGAACTGTGAAAGGGACTATTAGAAAAACTAATTTGTCAAAAGCAGTCATATACCTAAATCCTACTATAGGTTTCTTTTTACAGATCTGACAGCCAACCTGATGTTCAACTGACAAAAAAAACATGATAAAATGTTATTAGTCATTAAAGGTCATGTTTCGATTTATCCAAAGGAGGAGAGGACACTGAAAGGATAAGAAACTTGCTTGCCAAGAACTAAGACAGTAAAACTTAAAGTGTAACTAGGTACTTTGTTYAAGTGCAAATCCAGGAGAGTGCATTGAGTAACCAGCCACCCTCTTTGGAATCAAGGGTGGTATATAATAGTAGTGCAGTCTGTCTTGCTCCCCACTTCTGAGGTTTAAGATTCGATTCCTGGACTCAGCATCACATGTGAATACTGGTTGTTAGCTGTGCCCTGACTTTCAGCGTTCAATCTGTGAATTTGCCATGCCCTGACTTAGATCAGCCCAGAGGTTGTTTTAGGGTCCAATCTTTGAGTCAGTCATGCCCTGACTTAGATCACTTAGATCAGCCCAGAGGTTGTTTCAGGGTTTTATCTGTGAGTTAGCCATGCCCTGACTCATATCAGCCCAGAGGTTGTTTCAGGGTCCAATCTTTGAGTCAGTCATGCCCTGACTTAGATCACTTAGATCAGCCCAGAGGTTGTTTCAGGGTTTGATCTGTGAGTTAGCCATGCCCTGCCTCATATCAGCCCAGAGGTTGTTTCAGGGTCCAATCTTTGAGTCAGTCATGCCCTGACTTAGATCACTTAGATCAGCCCAGAGGTTGTTTCATGGTCCGATAACATTTGAAGGATTTTTTGGGGGGCTTCCCATAAAACTTATCAAACCTTACCAGAGGCAGAATTATTCATTTTCTGTAAGGTAGAAAGCCAAGCATAAGGTGCAGGAGTGTCCTTAGAAATAACACACTCTAAGAAGTTCTGAAGTGTGGTTCCTTGCCGGGCAAGTGGCTATAAAACAAAAAACAAAGTCAGAACTTTTACTAGTTATCCCTAATAACTTTGAACAGATGACTGTAAAATCAAAATAGAGGCTTTGCAACATCACGTGATGGCAGCCATGACAGGAGCCAGGAACAATTGAATCTGGTCTTATCTGATTTACATTGCAGTGGCTTCTGTCATGACTGCCATCATGATGCAAAGCCTGCATATGGATGTGCTGTGCTGCAGCTATCATGGTGTTGTTTTGGTCACAGGACTGTTGCAAAATGTGCTTTATAAAGAAGGTAGCTGTTCTAAATCTTGCATYCTGATTGGTTGGTCTCACAAGATCACATTTTTCTATTTCATCAGTTGTATCCAAAATAACAACTGTTGTAATTTGTATTTCATAAAAGTAAAAAATAAAAAACATTTGAACACTTGAGAATTGATGAGAAGCACTCTGCTAWGCATCATTCTTTTCTAACCCTTCCCTAGTGTTCTGCCAATCTCAAACTACTATATAACTGCATGCTTCACACAGCRCATGTTCTTTATTTACTGACCCCTTGTGGCTTAAAGAAACTACTAGCTACATCTTCAGCAAAACCAAACGTCGGCCCTTCTCCTACTGCTGATGGTAACTGGGGAAAAAATCATGAAATGATATTCATTGATTCTGCTAAAGACTTTTTGTATTTTACATAAGGAAAATGGGATGCACGGGTGGCATAGYGGTGTGAGTGCTTGCCTCTCATCAATGCGACCCGAGTTTGAGTCCCGCCAGGTTYGGTGKCRTATATGAGTAGAGTTATTTGTTGGTTCTCTCCTGTGCTTYGAGGGTTTTCCRGGTTCTCYGGTTTTCCTGACACTTGCTCTCAACACAAGTTTCGTTGAACTTGTGTTGAAATTGTGCCATGTACCACCCCTCTGAAACTTGTCTTGCAACACTGTTTGCACATAAGTTCCAGTTAAAAGTTTAAGCCAAATGTGACAGGTCTTAAAATCAAGTTGKCTGTGCTAATTAAGCAAGTTATTTTGCCATCTAGTAACAAACCTGTAAAAGCTCTCGTAAGTATGCTTCAAATTTAGGGAAGTTCAAAATACCATTGTCGTCCTCAATTTGTGAAAAATGATCTAAAAATAGAACAATTATATTAATTACTTTTGAGAAAAGAAATGTATAAAAAAGTGAACATAAAATATTCATCTCAGGGAGATCCTTGGCATAGAAATCTGGCATTTCTCAGGCCAAATAAGAAGGGTACAGGACAGGGTATCCACCTCGGTCGGACAGTTTTGCTGGTTGAGCGAAGTAAAGATAAGTTGCTAAGTTTCTAAAGACAGTGATAAAGCTACTAATGTRCAGTGGAAGCCATTTTGGGTAAAAYGTTTATGCCAAAAAATCAAGATCTTCGAAAAATCCATTTTGAAGTCCATTTTAAGAATTCTTACATCTCAGCTTGTCTACTAGTCTGCCATAACACAATGTTGATAGAGCTGTCTTGACTGATAACACTCGTATTCTGCCAATACCATCACTGGTAACAAATGGGAAATAATTTTAAAAAATTAATTTAAATATGACTTTTTGTCCCTAGTAGAGAATAAAGGTATTTATAGGAAATATTGGAAGTAGTGTTTCTTGCATCTAGATGTGAATACACTTACATCAAAATTTGTCCTAACCTRTTTTAGCCATCGGCAGAAACAGGTTTTTTAGGGGGGAGGGGTAAAACAGATGAGCAGCACCCCATTGACCATTGTCCACCCTTATTCAGTGCTTAACAGTTGTTTCACAGTTTCGATAGTGCATCTGGGGTAATGTTATTGCATTTTATCTCCAGGATGTGTGCAGCAAGAATGAACGATAAAGACATTAAGAAGCATCACCAGATTTACCTGTCGTAAGCATAAAGAAGCCAGTTTGTGACCAAACTGATAGATTTCTCTACATCAACCTCATGTGACGTCGGCAGTCTCTTGTTGAGAGCATAAAATATACTAGAAACTACTGCCTCTACTCTCAGCTCATGCAGCTCTGTATTATGGTCTAGTGTGTTTAGACCATTTTCCCTGAATGCTTCAATCATGTTATAYACATCTACAAGGTGAACTGTTGGAGAGAAAAATTGAGAAAAAGATTTTTTTAGAAAAGCTAATCTCTTCACATTATTATTTATCCCCTTCAGGCCATGTGTCATTCTCTTGAGATTAAGTTTCTTTGTTTGAGTTGTATCCATATTCATGTGTTTTATGTGCAATCTTAAATAAAGAAGTGATACTCTAGGGAATGACATGTGGTCTGAAAGTGGTAAACATTACACCCAAGATAAGAGGTCTACTTCAGTCTTAATTTCAATTTTACAGTGCAATGTGCAAAAGTATGACCAAGCTTAACGTATTTGYGTTCTTCTATGCACTGGCTTTTGCACATTAAACCAACACATTTCGATGCGAAGCTGGCTGGTTTTACCAAAKAGAGCGTATAAWTGCTCGTTTGGCARGAAAAAGCCTGTGTATAGAAGTTTGCGGATACATTAAATGTGGTCATACTTTTGTGTGTTGTGCTGTAATTAATAGATTACTCTATGGCATTAAGAAACAAAAGGAGCAGGGGTGCTATACTCACGATTTGTTCTTCTCTGGACAAACTGCAGCTTAGCAGCTGTCCGGTATGCAGCAAAYTTGATTGTATCAAAATTCTCATTACCTGGATTTATGTTACAGAAACAGCGAAATTAATTGTTAACTTAAATCGATAAAAGTGATATGTTGGATTGATGGTAATAATAATCAAGAAGGCAATGATGATGAAGATGATTGCAGTGAAGTATGATGGCATAATGATGACAATGATGACCATGACTGTGGTATGATGAC